CTGTGAATATAGCATATCGACTTTCAGATTAGCACTGCTACAAAATGCAAACAAAATAAGAAAAGCTCCTAAAATGAGCATTTTGAGATTTCAAATTTATTAATCATCAAAAGCATAGCACTAGTACCATTGCAATGATTAGGCTGAAGCCCATGTCATCAGGAAAAGAGCTAAACAGATTGCCTGGCAATTTCTGAGAATTCGTCACTTATCCCAATCTGAGGCCATTGCAGCATATGGGAGACTAACACGTCTGGATGCTGGCCAAAACCACATAACTGTGATTAAGCCCAAAACGTGGCAGAGAGCCCTTTGTTTCTCGTATCTCGAAAGCCACCGCAAAAGAATCGTCCTTCTGCTGCCAAAAGCATTGACCCACCCACTAAGCTTGTATAGGAGTGATGGTCTAGTTCCGTCTATACTGTCAATTTACCTAAAAATGCTAGAGTAGATGCCAATTTAGCCCAGTGAGTACCTGAGCCCGAATCCATCCCTGCTTAGCCAGGTGCAGTTCCTGTGCCGTTTGTTATTAGTCTGTACTCGTATTTGGCAAAGATGGAGCTCCCCGTTCGCAGCCCAGTTTTAATGCCTTAAACTGGTATAGGCCTGTCGAAGCCCGTAGATTTCAGCATAAGGAATTGGATTATCACGGCAATCGATAAATGTTTGCACACAGCGCAATCCTGGCTACGATGAACTAATGTAGCCCAAGTCACCGGAACGGCCAAACGGAACCAAATCGATACTTTGACATCACTGTGTTTTGCCCATACTTAATCCAAATTATATCGCTACGTCCATATTAAAGCATGTTTAATTTGTCCGAAATATTTGATCATCTTGAGCTGAAAAATTGTAAGTGTAGCATATTAGTTTGACAAACATTATAAAAAATAGGGCATTCAAATGCATTATTTTTTGGTAAAGGGCACGTTTACTTTACATCACCAAAGCTTAAGCTGGATCTCGAATTCCTTTAAATCTGTTTATAACAAGACTGAGGGACAGGAGGATGATATCATAAAAGAATACAATTTATAAGATAGATCACACAAACTCCTAACAGTTCGTAAGTTCTCTTTTAGCTATAACAGTCTCCAAATAAATTCCATAGGCGCATAGAATGTCTTTTCTAACTGTCTGTGGTTAATATTAATGCCATTTTGTTTAGAGAAATTTTCAGAAGGCTTGGATAAGAAAAGATTGTATTCCTCTTTTTTTTTGTTCTTCTCTTGTGACCTGTCCTAATAGAATTTAGATCTCTTAAATCCTCGAACATGACAGTATTCTGTGTTGAGTAGTTGGTCCTACACACAAAAAAAAAAACTATGTAAAATTAACATAGAAAAATAGTATTTCACTATTTTCTGAATTTTTCATGTATTTTGTTTTTTTATTTTTTGGGTCATTGAATAGTATTTAACAATTAAAATAGTAGAAAAGCTATTTACGAAATTTGCATGTATTTTATTGTTTTATTCATTTGGCAAGTTAATAGTAATGTCTCAATTAATATCGTAGCAAAACTATTTTATTTGTTTGCGTGTATTTTTTTTTTTTTTTTTTGGGCATTAAATAGTAACACCACAATTAATATCGTAACACAACTATTTTTTTCCTTCATATATTTTGTTGTTTTAAAAATACGATTATAATTCGTATGTCAACTATTTTTCTGGACCTAGGGTGGTTAGAGTATCCGACTCATAATCTCTGGGTCGTGAGTTCAAATCCCGCTTTTGCAGATAATATTTTTCTTTTTTTTTGTTTGTTAAATGTTGATTTCAAGTCTATAGATTTTCCTCTACAAAAAGCATTCTTCTGTGGCCTAGTGGTTAGAGTGCTTGACTCCGATGGTTGCAGCTCCGGTTCGATTCCCAGCGAAGGCAAAAAACCTGATTTGTAAGTTTTAAGTATCTGTGAAATGTAAGTGTCTATAAATAACTTCCATATAAATTAATATAACAAATTAAATTAAAAATAAAAAAAGTTAAAAACATAATTTATAAAAACAACAACTTTATTCGGGTTAAATACTATTTTGTAGGTCATCTACTATTTATAGGTAATCTACTTTATTACCACTCCAAGCACCCCCGTAACATGATTATAATCACAGCAAAAAATCAAATTAGAAGAATTTTAGACACCAGCGACGAAATATTCCACGAGAAAAACAGGATGCGAATTTGGACAATCCTTAAAAACAATGACTTTCCAAACGCAATAATACACAAAATGACGCAAGCATATTACGAGGAAGAGAAAAACAAAAAGAAAAAAAGATATGGACAAACCAATAACTTACAAATCTGCGATATACAACCCTAGTCAAAAGTATTTTCTCAAATTTGAATGTTAACTGTACTCATATTTTGAACTTATAATATAAACATTTTGGGACCTATGGAAAGAGCACTTCAATTCCGTTTAAATGACACAAAAATTTTCTTAACCCATTAAGCACCCCTTGGAAAAGTGAGCAAATTAGACAATTTTTTTTAAAAGTCAAATTTTCAAATTTTTTCCTGGGGCTTAAAACAAAAATGTTTTGATGCAAAGTTGTTCCCCAATCAAAATTAATAATAACTGCAAATTTTCATACAAAATTTTACTGAGAGGTCTCCATTCAAAAAATCATAAAAAATACAAGGAAAAATATTTTGAAACATTTTTTTTTGCAGGTCTTATTAATTTTGATTGGGGAACAACTTTGCATCAAAACATTTTTGTTTTAAGCCCCAGGAAAAAAGTCGAAAATTTGACTTTCGCAAAATTTGCTCACTTTTCAAAGCGGTCTTAATGGGTTAAGAAAATTTTTGTGTCATTTAAACGGAATTGAAGTGCTCTTTCTATAGGTGCCAAAAGTTTATATTATTAGTTCAAAATATAAGTACAGTTACAGTTTTGACCACCCCTGTATGTACCTGGATTCTCCGACAGACTAAAATCGTCGAACATATATGTATGACAAAGAAAACATCAGAATAGCACACAAACCAGCCCAAATAACGAATATTTTCTTCTCTAACATGAATAGCAAAATAGAAAAATTAGACAAAAATAATTTGATTTACAAGATTTCGTGTGCAGGAGACAAAAATACAACCTGTGACAAAGTATATGTTGGCACGACTAAATGTAAATTAAAAACGAGAATCTCTGGACATCGATCGGACATGAACAAAATACACGAAATTAACAGCCAAAAAACAGCACTCGCGACACACTGTAAAAGTACCGGTCACAGGCCAGATTTCGATGCAGTGAGCATATTACAACAAGAAGAACATTACAACAAACGACTCACAATAGAAATGCTTCACATCATAAACACACCTACAAACATTAGGCTCAACTTTAAAACAGACACAGACAATTGTGGACATATATACAGACACTTGCTAGAAAAGAACAGAGTTAGTTTACAACTCCACGGCGGACAGATCGGACGTCGTGCGCTTTGATTTAAAAGCAATGTATGTATAAACACGGTAAAATGTTTTTATGTCATTGAATAATAATAGTAATAATTGTTAGTATATGTAGCCCCTGAAGACGATCTCCGGAGGAGATCGAAATATATTGGGAAAAACCAAAAATAAAGCACCCAGACCTCGAGCCAGCCAAACCTATCGTTTGGTAATCTACTATTTTTTGGGGCATTTTCTATTTTTTATGGGTTGGGTCAGTTTTCACTATTAAATAGTTGATTTTACATAGTTTTTTTTTTGTGTGTATATATTGGTCTTGTTGCTGTTTGCCGATGTTCTTCTTCAGCCTGAGTTCTCTAGCCTCTTGTTTATTTTTACTTACCGATGCTTCTCAAACTGCTTCGGCTGTTATGTGGGATTTTATCCGAGAAGCTTTAGCACTGTGTGCGGTCCTGAGGTGATTTTGATTGAGTGTGATTTGTACTTTGTCTAGCCTACGTGTTTTGATTTCTTAAATAATATTTACCTCGTGCGCTACGCAGGACTTATTGTTGTCTTTGGTTGCGCACGTAACGACAAAATAAGAACTTCATTTGAGCGGTTTTGCAAAATTTTGAGTTTTACCGGAGTTATAGGGGTAGCAATATGGCATTTTTGATACTTTTTCGAAAAAATTACACTCAGTAATTTTTGTATATCTTCGGAACGGTTTGAGATATCTTTATGATGTTTTCACTAATCGACCAAGAAGTGTAAACGCTTTTCATAAAAAAAATTAAAGTTTTTTAAAATTTAGTTTTCCTAAAAAAAATAAGAACAATTTTTTTGGTGTACTTTTTTTTTTAGTGTTCTTCACCAGCTACTTAGTTCAAAACCATCGCTGTGTAGATCCGATTTTTATGAAACTAAGTTTATTTTGTTAAGAAATAATGTAGAAACTGTCTGAACCTAACTTACATAAAATATCTCAAAAACTATGGTTGTGGCACTCTTTCAAGGTTAAAAATCTATTTTTTTCATCATTTTGTTGTTCGTAATTATAAAAACAGATCACGACCATCGGAAACCAGGCCACAGCCTTTCTATACTCTCCTCAAGTTCAATGTACAGGCATCAGCGAACACGAAGTTGCGGTTAATGCTCTTAATTTCCGTTCGCAAAATGATCCGATCGCCCAAATTAGCGGCCTGTGTACACAGACCACAAGTATCGACGTCGACGACGGCTATAAACCAAACACATTATCTGGGGGTAAGCTGTAGAAGACTACTTAATGCTAAATCGATCATGAAAGCGGCCGAGGTCGAAAGAAATCACAAACATAGGCCCGGCCAAAAACTCTTCGCGGGAGACGCTCTTTACGAGTGTAATAAATGGAAGGCAGCAGGGCGCTGGGACTGAAATTGATTTACGAGCCGATACGGATAAATATCGAGTATCCAAAGCTTATCAGATAAACTACGAATTAGCACCAGCCAATGGTGAAGCCTCAGCAAAAGTAATTAATGGGCCTTGGGTATAAAAGTCAGCAGATGGCCAGTGGAGGAACACAGTCAACTACAGAAGTCTATGACTGAGAAACAATGAGAACCGTTAGCGCCTTGATCCTTCTCACTGCTCTTTTTGCCTGGAGTTCTGCCCAGCAGACCTCCAGCGGGAAGAACCAAAAGGAGAATGGTAAGTTGACGTGGTCGTAACCGACAGCAATCCAATTATGTCATTCGTGTTCCCCAAGCCTTCTCCAAGATCGTTCCCCGCCTGCTGTGGAACATTAAGCGAGGAGACAACCAGGAGAGCCATCGAAACACCCAGCCGATCATAATTGTGCAGCAACCTAGCTCGAACTCGGATCACGACTCGGATAGACACCACCACCACCACAACCCGCACTATCCCTACTACCCGTACTATCCGCAACCCCCACCGCCCAGCCGTCCCCCGCCGCAGTTTCCCGGAATGGACTACCTGAACAGTGCTGGAGGCGGACCCACTTACCTGATCATTAACCCCAACAACATGCAGGGAATCTACCTGCCCTCAAGCAGCTCCAACAGCTCAAACTCCACAAGCTCCCGTCGCAGCGCCTTTGTGCCCTCGATCGCAGATTTGCTGCAGGGCCTCAACTTGGACGATCTGGCCGACGGGAGCCTGTTCGAGGACGATTCCGAGGTGATCAATGCTGCAGAAGATGGAAACACGGAGGTCCACGGCTCCGAGGGACCGATTCCCCAAGCTGACGACGATCGCGAGGAAGATGTGATCAGCGAGGACGCGGTCGAAGCCCTCGAGCGCCAGACCAACCGGGGCTTAAGTCCAAAGCACTTGGTCTCGATCCTGATGCAGGACAAGCGCCGTCGGCGCATACAGGAGGTCCTGGCTGGCATCTACCTGAGAAACTACAACCTGAACAGAAAGTAATTGAACGGACACGAGCAGATACAAATTGAAATTGTGTGAGGCTGAATAAATAGCGGGCACTCGCCCAAACACCCCAAAAAGTTGGCTCCTTTCTGCAGCTCCATATTTTGTCTTCATTATGGGGCGCACTCTATCATAGGTCCCCGGAGAAATCTAAGCTGAGTTGCTGTTCCCCAGTAGATACTCCTCCTCCTTCTTCGACTACATGGTTGCCTTAGTTGCTGCCATTCTGCATTGTTACGACTTTCCGAGTTGCCGTAGCACTAAAATAATCTGCAACTGCAGTTGAAATATTTATTTGCAATTCCCCAACCTAACGTGAGCCTGGATCTGCCAAAAACGAGGAGGAGCTGTAGCGGCTGCTCCTACGACAGGTGGCACTGGAAATGGGCGTGGGCTTTGTCTGGGGTCTGGGATTTGGGGCTTGGGCGGCAGACAGAAGAAGTTGAGCATGATGAGCAGCTGCAGTTATTGTTTCGGCCGAGAAACTTTTTCAATGGGCAAAGTCCCGACTAGACAACTTAAAATTATTTGCTGCGAATGGTAGTTCCCAAGTCGGGTAAAGTTGGCCGAAATGATGGCAGTTTGCCGACCCAAAGAGCGCATTTATCTTCTAATAGCTTGGATTAGTAATGTGGCATAATTAATAATGACCTCAAAATATTTTGCCTAGAAGATTAAATTCTCAAATCGAAATAATGTTTTCGTTTAATTAGCAAGCCCAGCTGGGTTTTTAAGCTTTTTCTGAGTCTGGGGACCAACCTCTTAATTAAATTAATCTGCCACCGGCAACACTTCTCTATGTAATCACAAGTTTTACGCAATAAACTCAGTTGACCTTAAACCTCTCCTACGGCTCTTTAAATTTAAATCAGAAGCATTTCGGTTGCTTGTGCGGTAGCTATGCATAAACCTGAGCTCAGGAATTCCTTTGCGCCAACCCCAGCAGTTGGCCGTTTCCATTGTTGCCTGGCTGTTGCCATGAAATAAGATAAAAGGCGGCAAGGGCGGAAGAAGAAAGATGCCAGATGGTGTACCTGCCGGGGCAGCTCCATCCACCCAGCTTCCCTGGCAACAATTTCGCCGGAGTCTTGTAACATGGCTCCTACATTTTGTTGGCAGCATTTTTTTCGACTACCTGTGTCTGGAAGTTGGCCGTTTGTTGCATGTCCTGCGGCAGGCGAACTTGTTTGAAATTTGACGTGTGTAGTTTGCTGACCAGGAGCGATGGGATGTAGCAACACGAGAAGGCAGGGTGTAGGGTGGACCTCTGGACTGCTTACTCTTCCAGATTTTCGATATATCCAAGCTACCGTTGCACACAGAACAGCTCGAATAATGTTCTTTTTGATTTTCCCCTTTTTACTGGGCACTCGTAATATATCATATTCGTTGCAGTCTATGCAACAGATAAAAATAGAATTTGATTCGATTTAAGCACCCTTCGCCAATTAATGTTTGAGATCAAATTCAAATAGATTTTTCTTCTAGTACACACAAAAAAAAAACTTGGTAAAATCAACTGTAATAATTGTCAAACAGGCCCCAACCAGTAAAATTGTCAATTCTACTAAGTAAATAGTCATTTCACAACAACAAAATACACACAATTAGCAAAGACACAAACCCAAAGCAAAAACAAAGTACACGTAACTATTTTAATAGTTACGTAACTATCTTTGTTGGTCAATTTTACCAAATTTTTTTGTGTATACAAAAAAGAAAATCCGTTGGTTACATGTGCAAATTTTGATCACCTTTAATCTGAAACAAAATGCGATAAATTCTGTATTCCGGGTATCTCAATTGTTAACGAGAAATTTATGACTTATAATGTCAAGTTTCAGAGGCAAAAAGCGTGAGTGAAACTAATTTGTTTGAAACGTTTTACTTTTTATACCCTTGCAGAGGGTATTATGATTTCAGTCAGAAGTTTGCAACGCAGTGAAGGAGACGTTTCCGACCCCATAAAGTATATATATTCTTGATCAGCATCACTAGACGAGTCGATCTAGCCATGTCCGTCTGTCCGTCTGTCCGTCTGACCGTCTGTCCGTCTGTCCGTCTGTCTGTTTCTACGCAAACTAGTCTCTCAGTTTTTGAGCTATCGGGATGAAACTTTCCCAAAAGTCTTCTTTCTATTGCAGGTAGTATATATGTCGGAACCGACCGGATCGGACAACTATATCTTATAGCTCCCATAGGAAGGATCGGAAAAGAAAACGTTAAAAAAATTCTAGCTTCAGTGTTTTTTGAAATATTACCTTCTACATTTGGGGATGTTATTTTTTAAATATTTCTGAATTTCGAATTAAATATTTAAAAAATCGGACGAATATATCATATAGCTGCCATAGGAACAATCGGAAAATTAATGGAAAAGTAATAGGAAATAAATTCTAGCTTCTTTGGTTTTTATTGTATTATCTTCTACTCTAGGATATGACTCTTTTTAAATATTTCCGAATTTCAATTTTAATTTGATCAAAATCGGACGACTATATCATATAGCTGCCATAGGAACGATCGGAAAATTAATGAGATTAATGAAATTAATTAAACATTTTTGCGATTTGTTAATTAATAGGAATGATCTGCAAGGGTATTTAAGCTTCGGCTGGCCGAAGCTAGCTTCCTTTCTTGTTTTTCAATGTTTTAGCCCTGTTCTTGCTCATAAAACTTTTAATAGATTTTTTTATGTACAGTGTACACTGTGTACTCATAAAATGTAGACATTTTCTAAATTTTAGAAATATATTTGTATTAGTGCAGAGACACATCACTGATGCTACTACTTATTTTGACTTGGTTGGCTTCTCCTGTCCAATTGGCAAAATTTACTGTGTGCCAACTTTAGTATACATATGAATAAAAACAAAATGATATGGTCAAGCTGACCACAAGGGCTGTCGCTGTACGGGCTTCTTAAGGTGGGTAATAAAAGGTGTGGTTTTGCACAGCAGTATCGGATCCAGAAAAAATTTGGAACATTTTTCATTATAATGATAATTATCATCAATTTTGATCCAATTGAACCCTTGCAGAGGGTATTATAATCAGGGCTGTGAACCATTCCGGAGCTGAACCACTCAGAACCGGAGTGGTTCACTTTTTTTAGAAAACGAACCGAACCGTAAACCGGAGCGCCGAATTTTTTTATAATTGAACCGGAACCGATCCGGAACTTTTTTTTTGATATTTGGTTCGGTTCACGAAAAATTTATTTTGTGTGTTCGTGTTTTTTTTCAATATTGTGGGGGGTTTTCTGATTATATTAACGTAAAGTTTATTTACTAAGGGAAATAAAAATGCGCAAAAATTTTGTCTTTGCAATGACTGCATCTAACTCAAACAATCTAATAATATATAACTATCATCTTCCAAAACTTTTCGCAGTATGACCACATTAAAATTACTAAATTAATAAAATTAATAAATCATAAATCTTGTAACTTTACTTATAAGTCCTAATGTTATGGTACATATTTCAATGAAAGTACATGGAAATAAATGTTAACTTTATTATTTCATAAAAAAAAATTTATTTTTGTAAACCCTGGGTTGAACCTGAACCCTGCTCCGGCTCATCATTGAACCGGTTCGCAAACCGGAACATTATCTGTCGATTAGGTTTGAACCCCGAACCGAACCCATGCAAAAATAATATGGGTTCACAGCCCTGATTATAATTTCAGTCAGATGTTTCCAACGCAGTGAAGGAGACGTTTCCGACCACATAAAGTATATATATTCTTGATCTGCATCAATAGCCGAGTCTATCTAGCCATGAACATCTGTCCGTCTGTCCGTTTCTATGCGAACTAGTCCCTCAGTTTTAAAGCTATCGCGAAAAAACTTCTTTCTATTGCAGGTAGTACATATGTCGGAACGAGCCGGATCGGATCACTATATCTTATGGCTCCCATAGGAATAATAAAAAAAATAATAGAAAAACCATTGTAACTTTGTAGAAAGTAGGCGTTTTGATTTTTGACAATGTAAAAACAAAATTTTAAGTAGGCATATCTGCAAGGGTATATAAACTTAGGCTGGCCGAAGGTAACTTCGTTTCTTGTTATTAATTTTTTTATGTAGGTGATTTATAATTCAAATGGAATAAATTCGCATGCATATCGGAAATATGCACATTTGTTTTTTAAAAACTTGCAAATAATATGCAAAAAACATGCTAAGTATATGCAAACGAATTTGATCAAAATATTTACTTTCTTTAAATAAATTTAACATTTTAAGCAATACAGAAGGGTGCGTGTCATAACGTCCGCGGGCGCTATGACACACTAAAAAGTGTCATGAGGCCCGTGGGCCCGTGGGCCCTATGACACTTTTACGAGTGTCATAACGCTTTTTTAAAAATGTCATGGTGTCATGTCATAGTCCCCACTTTTAAAAGTGTCATAACACCCACAACTTCTAAAAAAATTCTAAAATGCATTTGGAGTTAATGAGAATACCGATAAGAGAATAACTGTTTGTTATGTTGTAAAGCGCATTCAGAATCAATAAGATTACCAAGAAGAGAAGTGCCGTTTATTATGATACCTCTCAAGCTTTTTCATGTTTTAGTCAGTTAATCACTGATCTTTAAACAACGTGGACGCGATATGGAGGCTGTTGAACCTTTCGAATACAAAATTGTTGCTGGCTTTCGCAAAAATTTTAAGCTGTTGCTTCTTACAACGCCTGCGGCGCTTCTTTTTCGGTTACACATTTAACTGCAAGCACATTACTCATTGCTACATTATTCTATAATACTCATTATTATATTACTCTATGTTACTCGCATTTATAAGAATTTCAATAAAATGTTAAATAGGGCCCAGGCAAACATTTATTATTATATTACTCTATGTTACTTGCATTTAAAAGAATTTTAATAAAATGTTAAAAAGGGCGCAGACAAAAATTTGTTAGAATAAAGGTGCAAGCCTCATTATTGTTTAATGCGCGCGCTTAAACTGAATACGACATCTTTACTTATATAACTAATAGTTAAATATATTTTCCCTGAGGGCGTTATGACACTTTCCTGAGTGTCATAAGGCT